GTAGGAGATGCCTGAAGACTGAAAGAGCTCTGAGGCACATGGGTCAGTGAGGTTCATATTGTAAAAACGGTATCCCACCAAAAGAAATCTACAAATTCAGTGCAATATCTATGAAAATCCCAACAGAGTCCATCTCAGAAATTGAAAACAATCATTTCAAGTTTCATATGGAAAAATATACACACATAAACCTAGGAAAGCAATATAATCTTGGTCAATAAAGGACCTGCTGATGGCCTTACCATCCCTTATATCAAATTATATTACAGAGTTATAGTATAAAAACAGTATGTGCTGGCTTACAAAACAAAAGAAAATGACCAGTGAAATATAATTGAGGACCCTGATTTACATCCACACACTTATAGCCACCTGATATTTTAAAAAGGAGCCAAAAATGCACAGGAGAAAAGACAGTATGTTCAACAAATGGTGTTGGTGAAACTGGATAAGGATGTGTAGAAGAATGAAATTAGATTCCTTTGTGTCACCATGCATAAAACTCAATGCTAGGCCTGACGTGGTGGTGTAGGCCTTTAATCCCAGCACTTCGGGAGGCAGAGGCAGGCTGATCTCTCTGAGTTCAAGGCCAGCCTGGTCTACATAGTGAGTTCCAGGACTGCTGGGGCTACAGGGAGACCCTGCCTCAAAAAGACCAACAAGAACAAAAACAAACAAACAAACAAAAACAAAAACCCTCAAGTCCAAATGGATCAAGGACCTCAACATAATACCTGATTCAGTTAGAGGAGAAAGTAGGGAAAATATTGGCACTTATAGGCACAGTAAAGGACTGTCTGAACAGGACTACTATAGCACAGGCTGTAGGTACAACAACTGATAAATAGTACCACATGAAACAAAAATTTCCTCACATCAAAGAATACCATTATTCTAGGGAAGAAAGAACCTACAGACTGGGAAAAATCTAGATACTAACCTGTGACAAGGGATTAGTATCTAGAAAATACAGAGAATTAAAAAAAAACTAAGTATTAATAAAACAAGCCAATTAAAAGGGGGGCAAGGAGCCAAACAGGGAGCTCTCTAAAGATGAAAAACAAATGGATAAATAATTTAAAAAATGTTTAACATCTTTAATTATTAGGGAAATGCATATTAAGACATCTTTGAGATTTCATCCACTTCTCAGAATGGCAAACATCCCCATACCCCAAAGAATGCTGGCAGAGATGTAGAGAAAGCACAACTCTTTTTTTTAAAAAAAATTTTATATTTTTTGAGTTTTTGTAAATAAATATATATATATATTACATCTTAATAAAATTATGGCATCCCCCTCCACAGCGTCCCATAGCTCCCACACCATATTTCAGATATTTTGTCATATATGTTAAGTCCTATCCTCTCAAACATTGGTATCCAGATGTCCTTTGGTACAAATTCAACAACTGGCATCTATTCAGTTTATCTAAGTCATTCCCTTACAAAAATGTACTCTTCCTAACCCCACAGTTACCATTTGCCAATAGTTTCTTGCCTAGGGTTGGGGCCTGCTGCCCCTTATCCACTGTTGGAAACAGGGAAAACTGGTACAGTCACTATGAAAGTCAGTGTGGCGATTTCTCAATAAACTCAAAATTGATTTAGCATGTGACCCAGCCATACCACTCTCCACCATCCTACAGAAATACCTGTCTATCCACGTTCATTATTGTTCTTTCCAAAATAGCTAGAAATTTGAAATAACTTGGATATCCATCAACTGATGAATGGATAAGGAAGGTATAGTTAGATGGTAGATGGCTGAGAGATGATAGATGATAGATAGATGATAGATAGATAGATGATAGATAGATAGATAGATGATAGACACATAGAGATTAGATTAATATTATTAAGCTCTTATAAATTAAAATAAGAAAATCACAGGTAAATGGGTAGAACTGGAAACAATCATCCTGAGTGAGGTAAACTAGACTCAAAAAAGGTCACAAGTTCTTTATCACAGCTGGGGCTAGCTTTGAAATCTTAGATATGCATGTTTCAATTTGAAAATTGAGAGAGGTTTAGAAACTAATAAATAGCCATGGATGTGTGTGGGAGGTGTACTGGGAAGAGTGGTGGAATCCAGTGACGTGAAGGGGGAAGTTGAACAGTGGAGTAGGAAGGATTAAATGGTTGGGGATGGGAGGACAGGGCCGAGAAAGGAGTATGGGTAAGGATAAGTAACTCTAAAAGCCTATAGAGAAAGCCACATTGCAACCTATTAGTATAGAAGCTTCTTAATGTGTATTCATATAAATCATAAAAAGAGATTAAAAGTAGTTAGCATATAACAGGGGACATTGCCCTTTCTACACATCATAGGCTAATGAAAAACAAAACAAAATAATCCCCTCAGTGTCAGGAATGGATTCCCTCTCTAGAAGCTGTTCACCAGGGGTACCATGGACACTCAAACAATAGTGGCCATTGTCTTTGCTCTTGGTTATGCACTAGAACTTCACAGCAATACCATATTGTTGAAGACACTACATACATGAATGGTAGAGCAAGAGAAGAGAAAGCTTCTGGAAACAGCATCCCTACTGGCTAGCTTTCATAGTGCTGGAAGGTGCTATTTTTTTCTATTAAAAGGAAAATGTCATCATCAAACTTAGCAGCTGTGGATCCTATGAAATACAATAACAACTGGTCTGGTAAGATATGCCCACTAGCACAATAGTGACACAAATATTATGGGAGTAACCAATCACTTTTTAATTAAATATAACACCTGTCAAATATCTTTAGGCTAGACATATTACAGGTCATAGGTGAGAACCTAGCACTAATTTTCTACTAGATAGTTATCATATTAAAGTGACTCTTAATGACATGTTTTTTAAAAGATATTTTATTTATTATTTTTATTTTATGTATATGAGTGTATTTTCTGCATGTACGTGAGTGCACCTGTTTGGTGCAATGTCCACAGAGGTCAGAAGAGGCTGTCAGATACCTGGAACTGAAATTGCAGGTGATCGTTAGCTACCATATGGGTACTGGAAATCATACCCTGTTATTTACGAAAGTGGCCAGTGCTCATAATAACTGAACTGTCTCTCCAGCCCCATGACATATTTTTTTGTGCCTGTAGATTAATACATCTCTCAACAGAGAAGTTTCCTTATTCAGCAGATGGTGATTAACACAGAAACTCACAACTGCTCAAGAAGCATAAATCAAGAAGCTGGAGCTTATCTGTGAATAGGAAATCTATATCAAAATTCTTCCTCCCAAAGCTCAGGGATCAATTCAGAAGAGGTAGAGGAAAAATTGTAAAAGTCGGAGGACACAGATGACCACAACGAAAAAGAGTTTTCCAGACAGCTGGTCATTTACTCATACGAACACACAGTAAGGTGCCAGCATTCACAAGCCTCGTGCAACATTAAAGCAGAAAAAAAATCCCACCATAGTCAAGAGGAAGTGTAAGAAACCCCATCCCCACCTAAGGAAATTGTGTCAAAAGATGTCTGATGGAAGGGACAGAGACAGTATCATTCAAGCATGGGACTATTAATAGGTTAAACAGACTCTAGTGGATGGACTGACATTTGGGGACACAAATTAGACTCTATAGGCCTTATTATCTGTATAATATAATACATTAAATTGCTGGGGTCAGTCAGGGTAGTTGTGGATAAAGGAGAGGATCTATATACCATCAAATTATATTGTTTGAAAATCAAAAAAAAAACAACAGTCAAAAAATAAATTTAAAAAATAAAAGAAAATTTTGGGATCTTAAGATTTAAATTTTTTGACAGTCTGTTAGAATAAATTAAGTATATGCGTTAAGTGTATGTGGGTTTTTTTTTGTTTTTTTGGGGGGGTTGTTTTTGTTATGTGTTTGTTGATTTTGAGAAAAGGCCTGCCTCTCTATAGCTCCAGGTGGTCTGGAATTTGCTATATAGACCAGTCTATCATCTAGCTCACAGAGATAGTCTTGCTTCTTGCTCTGAAGTGCTGAGATAAAAGGTGTATGCTACCACATTTGACTTCAATGTGTGTTTTTGTGTATGTCTTTTATTTAATATTCATTGTGTATGTTCTTTAAAATATTCTGTTGCTAAGTTACCACTATTGTATAAGAAAGACTTAAATGATTTATGGTAATATAAAAGACTGTCATTTTTATAATGTATGCTTCAGAAAACATATACAAACTGGATGACTGGTTATTTGATAGTACAAAGAACTGTCTCTCAACATTTACAAATAAAACTTATTTGGAAATAATTACCATGTGCAAACAGATAACACACAGGATTAAAGGTATCTCTGTCAATTTTATTATAGACACATACAAAATAAGATCTGCAAATATGTAACTTTATACTTAACTAAATGATTTACATAAAGATTTTCTCATTGATGTTAAGACATACTTAGGTTACTACATTATTTACCATGAGGCCAAACAAGGAAGTCTCAGTATTGAAATAAGAAAACACTTTGTTCTGCCACAAGGAGTCATACTGTGTTTAAAATATGTAATGATCGTTGATCCCAAAATAACACCAGACCTACAAGACAAGAGGAGCAGGTTGAGTTGGCTTTAGCCTGACTTGTGTCTGATGGCATTTTCAGGAATGTTGAGATGATTTTACTATAGGAGAAACTTCGTAGCAGAAACAGAATCATGGTGAACAACACAGCACCTGAGACCATCATTCATTACAGAGCTGTCCCCACAGGCCAGCTGAAGTATTGGGGGATGTCATAGAAGTGGTTGATTTTGTTGGAAGCACAAAATGACAGAGAGAAGATGTGCTAAAACTAACCGACCTAAAGAAGGATTCCATTGAACCAGAACACAGCCATTAGCAAAATGCACAGATTGTGGTTTGTGACCATAGGAAAGCACAGAGGGCAGATGTAGCCACATAGTGAACATAGATTATCATAGCCAGGAGAACGCACTCTGTGGCACCAAGCATAAGGCAGCTAAAAAGGCTCACTGCAAACGTTGGTGCACCACAACCAAGGCACTATTTTCTAAGTACCAGTTTTCTCAGGGCGGCAATGACCTCTTTGTTTCTAAGGCTGTATATCATAGGATTGAACATGGGTGTCACGATGGTGTATAACAGAAAGAGCAGTCTGTCAATTCCTGGAGAATGAGTGGACTTCGGCCTCAAGTAAGTAATAGTAGCAGATCCAAAAAATAAAAACACCACCAGCAGGTGGGACGAGCAGGTGGAGAAGGCTTTAGCCCGTCCTGTGGCTGTCGGCAATCTCAGAATGGTGGCAATTATTCTGCTATAAGATGCGAGTATCAACAAAAAAGGGATTGCAGCAAACAGGACAGCCACTAGGAAGACACACAGCTCGTTAACAGAAGTGTCCCCACAGGCCAGCTTCAGAATAGGGGGTAAGTCACAGAAGAAGTGATCTATGTGGTTATAATTACAAAAATGCAGAGAAAATATCTGACAGGTTTGTCCTATCTGAACCGGGATGCCGCCGAGCCAGGAACCTGTTGCCAGCTGAAAGCGCTTTGTTGGGTTCATGACCAGAGGATAGTGCAGAGGGGTGCAGATGGCCACATAGCGGTCATAGGACATCACAGCCAGGAGGAAACATTCAGTGGCTCCCAGAATTAGGAAAAAGCACATTTGAGTAGCACAAGTCAGAATAGAAATTCTTCGATCCTGAGTACAAATGTTGACCAGAATCCTAGGGACAGTGACAGATACATAACAGATCTCCAGAAAAGAAAAATTTGCAAGGAAAAAATACATGGGCTTCTGTAACGCAGGGTCAAGCCTGGTTATTAATATTATGAGGAAATTTCCAGTTAATATAATAAAGTACATTGTGGAGAACATCACAAATAGAAACCCTTGGAGTTCCGGAAGGTCAGAGAATCCCAAGAGGACGAACTGGGTCACTGTGGAAACGTTGTCTTTGTCCTTGATCTCTTCATGCTTCATCTAGGGAGTGTTTTAGCCAAAAGCACCAATCACTTTATTGCCCTTACGTTTCCTTTTCTCACACATATGCTACATATAACATTCACCTAAGTCCCTCGGTTCTCTAGAAAAAAATAACATATGTCCCTCAAGTTCCCTGAAAATTGCTGAACTGCATTTCTTGCTACTATGTGAACACAGTAGGAGTTGTCACTGTTTTTTCCTGTTGTTTCTACTGTTTGTATATTTTTTGGTTTCTGATTCCGTGGCATGACACTTCAGATCTTCTTGTCACTACTCAAAATCGCAGTTTGAGCCAATGTTAATTAAACAAGCATTCTAATTGTGCAGCTGTGCTTTTTTTCTCTCTGCTCAATATTTTGTTTTTGCTTTTGTGATTATAAACTTAATATTAACATTTACATATGAGTAAATATTAAAATACCTCAAGATAATATATAATACACTATGAAATAAAAAAAAATCAGGAATGTTATCCAGAGTTTAAAAATCTGTGTACCACTAAAATAGGAACACATCATAAAGAAAGTTGAGGTCTTTTTATCCAAGAAGGTCATCACAAGTTGTAGCCCCTGTATCTATAGTGGTGAAAGTGAGTCTATGGCAGAGCAGGCATCTCCTCATTCTGAACATGTATGGTGTAAATGCAGTGTCGATCATAGTTCATGTTGTGCTTTTCCTAAGCCATTCTAATTCTCCCGACCTTACCTTGCTGAGCTCATTTGATTTCTCTGTGATGCGTTGCATCCATTCGTGTGGATTCATACGTGAGCATGCTAGCATGTTCTTATTCATTTTAAGGCTCTATCTCAAGCTCTATGATTTATGTTTATAACTGATTTTTGTCATATATAAATTTTCAAATTTTTAGTATAAAAATTTCACAGCATGTAGAAATCATGAGGATATTTCATAAACAGCAGATATGTACAGCCGAAACTTGTATGCTAAAATGAACATTTCAGCTTTCACTCTCTTCCTTATCTTCCCACACACCCATCCCTCTGCACACCAACAGACATATTTAGTCTCCTTTATTGTAGATATATTTTTCTCTATAATTTGGTTTACTGGGTAGGTATGCAGAAATTATTATAATCATCGACTGTAGCAGAAATAGCCTATTTGTATTAATGTTAGGTATTTCCACATTAAGTGTTATTCATTTAAAGACTTCAGAAAACTACAAAGAGGCTTTCTGTGATGCTTTGATAGTGTTTTGTGTAGCTGTTGTTCAAGATTTCTCTCTCAAAACGTAGATGCAAACTGGAAAGGTGTAGAAGTTTCTGCCTAAACTGGCCTTCTTAGCGACCTTTTGTTAATAGTAAGAATGTTAGATGATTATTTCTTTTTCAATCCCCAGTATTTTACATTAAATTTCAAAGTATTAATGGAACATATTTATCTAAAGTTTAGAATTTTCTTAATAAAAATTTAGTCTGAGATTCTGAAATTGCTTTACCTGAAACTCAGAAATTAATAGTACAATTAATAAAAGGTGAGAGAGCTAAAGTATAATTAAAAGCCTAAATCAATAGCACAGGTTTATATTTTCTTCATTACACTACAAAGTAAATTTAACCACCTTTATTCATATATTTACCTCAGTGTAGAACTTATTATGAAGACAATAGCAAAGCACTTTGGTCAAATCACCTCACTGAAGACCAACACTTGCTATTGCACTGCATTTGTTTCCTAGACATTGGGCCAAAAAGTGCACCCTGTAGAATACAAGAAATTAACCAGCAGAAAGAACTGCCACCTTCCTTTTCATTTAATTAGATCTGATTCTACTTCTTCAGTTTAATTATCTTTGCGTAGCAATCTAAACTGTTTAAATAATATTGTAGTTTTCTAAATTGAAATATAATTGTTTTAAAAGCATCTTTAGTAGAAGTTTCACTTCCTTTACTTCTATTGAAATACATCATTTCTGCTCTCTGATTAAGTTTTGTCAAAAAATTTAAATCTCAATATTTCATTTCTAAAAATAGCATCAAAATATCCTGTATAAATGCACATAATTTAATTTTTAAAGAGAATTAAATGATAAAAATTTTAAATAACTATTGATTTTACAAAGATGGAAATTTATATTTAAAATAAAAAAGGTAAATTTTGTTTTACTCACATTAATAGAATTATCCATTTGAAACTACAGGTAAGGAAAGAGATACTGGAAACTGGCAATCCACACCAGTCTTGTCTTTAGTTCCTTTCACTTTGCAGGTTGAGCCCAAAGCCACATCATATGTGCTGGTCAAGCAGTCTGTCATGGTGCTGCACCTTTGCTCCTGTGCCTTTGAAAATCATCCCCTAAATAATTTAAAATCCCTCCTATTGTTTCTAATAGAAACCTTGTAAAACATTTATTTATACTAAGAAATAAAATAAGTAACCATTATAGGCTTTTTTGCTTTGATTCAGAAAGCTTACACTTGTTTAAATCATGTCCCCTTGAAAATTTTTATTTGTTATTGTCATTGTGATGTTAAATAAACAATTATCACAATATACTTAAGGATTATATAAGCAAACTGAGTTTCTTTATGAAATCAAATTGAAGGGAAGGAATAAAGTAGATATTTTTTATAGATGTTCAGAAGGGTCTTTTGTATTGAAAAATATTCTAAAGTTTAGTTGAAATTATGCTAATATTTCTCTTATATTTTCAGGTTCTCTTATGCTGGAACTTAATTATTAACAACAATAAGAAGCTCTTTGTATAATAGTAGGCTACAGGCCAATTTAAGTAATGTACATTCATCATTTGATCATCTGCTCCAGGCAGTTGGCTTTTTACATAACATGTACTCTAGATCTAACATAGGTAAAATAGGTAAATACACGTGTAACACAAAATCATGAGCTAACAAATAATCATTAAAAATTAAATTAAAAATCAATTATTTTTTGCATTAATATATGCTAACACATGAGTATAAATATATTAATGACTTGATCAAATTATTTGATATGTTAGCCTGTCACATTTAAAAGACCTTTACATTTTCCTCATTTGATCTAATAATATCATCGTAAAACTTATAAAAATTAAAAGCAAGTGGAAATATAAATTTTGGTAACTATAAACAGTTACCAAAAAATAAATTATATAAATCAAAAATCTTACCTTTATAAATTGGTATCAAAGAGACAGTGAAAAATAAGTATGCTTTACTAAGTCTAGTACTTCTCTACTTTTTCAAAACAGAAGCTGATTACCTTCTAATATATTCTTTTGTCAGAAAACACAGAGGTATTTAAGGATGATATTTTCTTTGCCCTGGGGATAAATTCCTTCTTCAAATCACTTTGTAATTGAAGGAATACATTTTCCCTGCCACTCAAGAAATACACCTACAAAATAAATAAATGAGAAGCACATATACTTAAACTAATTTTGCATAGTCTCGGTTTCTTTCTTTTTTTTTTATTTTCTTCCTTTGTTGTGATGGTTAAGAAATATAAACATTTGTCCAAGAACCTTTTGCCAGACTGGTCACAAAGCATAGGTGATAGCCTACTACTCTTATTTTGCTAAGTGGATGTATTATTAAAACTACTGTTAATGAATTATCATTATAGCAATAAATTAGTACTTATTTCGTATTTCATTAGAACAACTTTTTTTTGAGTAGATGCCAATTAACACAGAGATCCACTAGGTGAAGGTATAGAGAATACGAGAATGCTCAGTCCTAAATGAAACAGCTGTATCACAACCGCATCCTCAAGACTAGGATCATTGATGAACAAGGAGTAGGCAGACTGTGAGAGTCAGAGGCAGGGGATGACTACAACAAAGCAGATTGTTCTAAACATAACTGGAGAGGTGCACATATGAACTCCCTGCACTTGTGGCAGCATGCAAAGGACTTACACAGGCACGCTCAAACCAGACAAAATCCCAGCATGGAGGTGCAAGATGGACAGAAAATCCCACCCCTACCCTTGCCTTTGGAGCTATTGCGTGATAGCTGCCTGGAGAAGAAGTTTCAGTTTTCTTTAAGAGAATTGCCCCCTGCAGGCATGGCCACACACGGAAGAGTGTATATGCAACACAAAATGAACTCACTGGGTTTGGGTGCATGGGGAAGGGGCTGGTAGATATTGGAGGCATTTGGAGAGGGAGGTAAATATGTTCAAAATACAATGTATGAAATTTAAAAATAAATAATAAAAATCACACATTGAGAAAAGAAATGACATTGAAAATGTCAGATTTGATTACACTGACAACATAGTTTGTAAAATTGAATTTCTGCAGATTTCATAAAATATATTTTGATGATATTTTGAATCCTTCTCCTATCCTCACCTCCTTACTATCTTGCACACAATTTCAAGTATTTATGTACATGTATATGCCTATGAATTCAATTCAAATATTTGTCCTCAAATGCCCCACAGGGTGGGTTCTTTCACTGGAGCCTGGTCAACCGACCAAGAGTCTCACTCTTAAACGTGGCTGACTCTCCCCTCTCAATAGGCATCTGTTGCCAACATTTTCTCGTGTACGATTGAGGTTTCTTGCCTGCTTCTATGCTAAGATTATGTCTGTATTGTGCTTATATAGGACTTGTGCATGCCGTCACCCTTGCTGAAAGTTCATATGGCTAACTAACAATTTGTCAGGAAAACTCTGTTTTCTTTTGGCTACCCAGAAATTCTGGTTTTTACAGTATTTCTGCCTCCCCTCCTGCAATTATCCTCAAGTCTTTAGAAATTTATTGAAGGTTTCTTATTCAAGAATAAGTGCTCTGCAGCCTTGCATTCTCTGCACCCTGACCAGTTAGCCTTCTCTGTGTTAATCATCCTCTACTTCATAAGAAAGTTTCTCCACTAAGAGTTAAGAGATCCATTCATTTATAAGTCAGGAGGAGTCAATCTAATACTATATCTATTTAGCATAATAATAATTTTAGACTCTCCTTTATATACTGTGACCTGTCTAACCTCAGGTTCCTAGGCCTGATATCAATGTCAAATATGAG